AGTTATTACTTCAAAGGTAGTTTGAGGTAAGCCGGGCATGGTGGCGCATGCCTGTAATCCCAGCACTCGGGAAGCTGAGGCAGGGGGATCGCCGTGAGTTCGAGACCAGCCTGGGCTACATAGTGAGTTCCAGGTCAGTCTCAACTACATAGTGAGACCCTGTCTCAAAAAACCAAAAAAAAAAAAAAATGTAGTTTGAGGTGATCGAATGAAATGAGTGATGTGAAAATGGCTTGTGGATATAGAGGAGTATCTAAAAGCGGTCGGCATTCATCGCCACCATCCTTGGTGTACTGTCTAGGAGAGAGGGGAACTTGCTTCATTTGGACCTCACGTGTGCTCGGGGATGAGCTTCGCTAAACTCACATTTCTCCTGTAAAATGCAATGGAGAAGGCTGTGGGGGCAGCCACTTGGCTTGGGACACTCTTCCCTGTGGTGTCTGTCGGAGCCTCTCCACTCATGTCCCCGGCCCACTCCTGTGCCCTCCTGCCATAGCTGGCCCTGCCGGAAAGTCATTTCTTCTGAGAGACAGTTGATAATGGCCTGAACTCTTACTCTCCCTGCCTCGACATGACGTTTTTCTATCAGTGTAGAACTCAGGTCTCAGGAGGATGCTTTTGTACCAGTAGAATTTTGGAGTCATTGCAATCTGTTTGGAAGGGGAAGGATATTTTAATTTTAGACTCTTAAACCACAGTGTGACTATGGCTGCCTATTACCAAGACTGTCCCCAGACTGAGACTGTTATACTCTGGATTACCATTACATACACAGTATTTAGGAGTGCATCATAAATGCCATATGTTGTTTTTATGAAAATAAAATTTACACAAAACTCACTGTTCAAAGTGTACATTTCAGTGAGTTTTGACAAACATATACAAGTATGTTACCACCACAGTCAAAATGTAGTCTCCATAGGTCCCCCTGTAGTCAGTCTCCCGTCCCCACCTTTGGCCCCACAGTGCTTGCTGTCAACATAGACCAGTGATGGCAAACATATGGCGTGCATGTCGCAGCTGGCTGTTTGTATTACGAAAGCACTGAAAGATTCACCATCATTGCCATAGACCATTCTGGCTTCTCTAGAATGGTATATAAATAGATTCATAGGACTTGTAACCCTTTATGTCCAATTTATTGGTACCGATTATGGCATACACGTTGAGCAAGTGAAATTCAGCCCACATGCTTACTTTCATTGTGAACTGCACTTGTAGACAGTCTGCACTTCAGTGTGCTGAATGAATTCTTGACTAAGAGTAGTCCACAGTGGACTGGCTTGTGGCACTTTTATTCTTTGACCCAGAAAGAAATGTTTCCCATTTTAAAATCTTGACTATTTGTAGCAGTGATAAGCTGCTAGTGAGTGGAAAAGGTTTAGGGGAAGGGGAGGTTTCTGTTTGCAAAGTTATTTTAAGCTTACCTTAGGCAACACTTCCGTTGTTGATAAGCTCATACGTAAACCAATGGATGCTTCAATCAGATGACATTCAAATTTCAAATTATGAAGTAACGCATGCTTATTGTAAAAAATTTGAGGAGTAAGAGAAAAAGGACAATGACATTTTTTTCTGTTAGCTCATAGAGAACTTTTGTAAATTTTTAGTTTTCTCTAAATAGCTTTTAACATAGATAGTATTCTATATATAAATAAAACAGTATATATAGTATGGATAGTACTGTACTTGCAGTACTGTAATGTAATAAATATCATATAGTGTAGCATAAAAATTATATGACATTTTGTTCCTTTTCACTTAATATTTTATTTACAACATTTCTCTGTCATAGATTCCATAAACAATTTTTTTGCCCCATTGAGTTTATTGGTACTTTTAGTATATAGTGCAGTTACATTCATCATTGGGATCTTGTACCATTTTTACATGCCAGGTCTTGGTTCTCATTTTTTCCCCATACCCCTGCCCTCCCTTTATCCCCCTCTCTCTCATATTTACAGAGTCTGTTTCCATTTTTTCCTTTTCTCATATTTTTTTATTGTCCCTATTTCCTTTCCCCTCCCCTTCCCACTTCCCGTACACCTTTAGCCCTTTTCTTCCCATTTCACATTGTCAGTTATACAATTTGGATCTCATTTACACTTTTAGAATGGGCATTTATAACTTACCTTACATGTAGGTATTATATACTATATATGAATAGATAGTTTAAAAGTTTAACAAGTGAGATTTATTGTTTGTTTGTGTTTGGTACCGGGGATCGAACTTGGGATATTGTGTGTGGGAGGCAGGCGGCGGAACCACTGAGCCAAATCCCTGGCCCAACAAGTGAGATTTAATAAGCACAAGAATATCTTCTTTTTAACAGGGACCCTTTATGATTCCCATTTTCCTGTAGTCTATACAGATCACACTTACAGCAGAGCATGGCTCCACTGCCTGATAGAAGGAAGCACAAACTGGCTTTTAAATCACACAGAAGTAATACAGAGAGCATTTCTGAACCCATCTTTCTCAACACCCTAAGTTGCCTACCATTGTTTTCTGCCCTGGCTGTGTATCAGTTGAGCCATGCTTTGATGGGACTGCTGTTGAGTTTCCATCTGTCAGATCTCAGTGGGCAAAAGTGATTGGAATGGAAGGCTGGTGGGGTTCCACCGGGTTACTCTGTGCCCTGATGGCGGCAGATGAAGCATTTGAGCCAGAAGGTTGGGAACCCTTACGTTCTCGCCATCCCTGTAGACTGAAGCAGAGAACCTGGAGAGGTGGCAGTGCCTGCTGGAGTGGCTATTGTTCTGAAAGTCTGCGTGTCTGTATTGGATGTTCGCTGAGCTTAATGGGACTCAAAAGATGCCGGCAGACAGGCTGACTTGTGGTAAGATCTGAAGCCCATCCAAGAGAAAACCTTTGGAGAAAGAAGCAAAGGACCTAAATAGGCCCTAAATTGTATGCAGAGTAATATCATCTTCCCAGGGTCACGCAGAATGAATAGCATGATAAATTATTAAGATTTTGGTACAGTTCTGCTTCACAAAAATTTTTGGAACATTGAACTAAGAACTGTGGGAAATATACGTGATAGGGCTCTGCAGTGATGTGACTGATTTTTAATAAATATGAATTTCTAAATTTATATATTTAGGACTTGGTCTTCTTTGAGAATTTAAATATGTTTCCAGGGATTTTTTTTTTTCGCTAAAAAAATTTCTAATTCCCCACTTGAAGCTTGTCTCCAGGTGGTAGAATATTTAAAAAAAATATAAAATACACATGTATAGCACTAGGGATTTAGCTCAGTGGCACTGTGCCTGCCTTGCACTTGCTAGGTCCTGAGTTTGATTCCCAGTACTTGGAAAAAAATACACACATATATATATTTTATAGATTTTAGTTTTGAAACTAAGTTATTTGGTGCTAAGTCCTATGAATGAGGTAAGACAGCAAGATAGATAATACTCTGTTTATTTAAAATGAGGCGTGACTGTGAAGTTTTTGCATAAGGCTCCTTGATATCGAAGGAGTTCCTCTTGTGTGAAATGATGGCATTATTACAATAAGCCTATATATTTCCGAAAGGAAATACTGTACTTGTTTACATGTAGTTCTGATGTGTATGTAAAAAGTTCTAACTTTTTACATAGGGAGCCAGACCTGAAAAGGCTGAGAACCTTTAGGAAACTTCTGTCCTTCTTGGAAGGCAGTGTGCAAGCAAGTGTGAGAGCCAGAGAACAGGAACTGGTGTTGCTTACTTGGGGCTGGAACAGGGCTGAGGGATTGTATGATATGAGTGAGAAGCTGGCTGGCTGACAGGCTTCACCTTCAGCTTTTACATACATTCTCATAGATGGAGCTTGTTGTATTTGTCAGCATTCTGTCACTGTGACAAAATATTAAGAAAACTACTTATAGGGAGAAGGGTTTACATTCGCTTTTGCTCTCCAAGGTTTCAGCCCGTGGTTGGTTGGCTCCATTGCTTGGGCCTGAAGTAAGGCAGAGCATCATGGCTGAAGGTGTGACAGGGAAAACTGCTGATCTCATGGCAATCAGGAAGCAGAGAGAGCACAGAAAAACTCAGCGGAAGGGGGGGATGAGATATAATACCCCAAACCAGACCCCCATGATCCACTCCCTTCAAATAGGCCCCTCCTCTTTTTCCATCATATCCCCAAAATGCTATCAAATCATCCCATCAATGGATTGATCCACTCAGTGAAATTAATCTTCATGATTTAATCACTTCCAAAGAACCCCCTGTGGCAACCAAGCCTTTAGCACAGGAGTTGTGGGGGACATTACAAATCTAAACTGTAACATTTATCTACCCATCAAAAATTCTCCTCTGTTCTTTCTCTTCAGTTTATCCTTTGCCTTTGTTTTATCTAGATTAATTTATAAGAAAAATCTACTTCTCTCAAGGGCCCTGAGTGGTTTTGCATGTGTTAGATTTCTCTGGTTTGATGATATTGTGGGGTTGATTTTGCAGGTGGGAAGTAAAAAAAAAAAGGAAAGCAACTGATAAGAATAGTTTAGGTTGGATCCTTAAAAGTAGGTCAGTGGGACTGTTTTGAATTAAGTTCTGAAGAATACGGATGGCATGCATTTACATTTTATGATAGTTACACATTTTTTGCCTAATGCATGGTAACATTGTCTTCTACTTTACATGCAAAATACTTGGAGCATGGGCAAGTGCACTCAGTTTTTGTATCCCACAGCACATAGCAGAGTGCAGGACATACTCATTAAGGATCATCTCTTCTCTGAAGCTTTCCATCATCCTCTCTAGACAGAATTATTGCTTTCTGAAATACCATGGAGTAGGTAGCTTAAAGACGAGACATTTATTTCTTACAGTTGTGGAGGCTAAGGAGTTTAAGATCAAGTTGGCAGCTGATTTCGTTGTTAGTGGGGGCTCTTTTCCTGGCTTGTAGATAGCTGCCTCCTCACGTGTCAGGGAAGCGGGGATCTAACCTGGCTCCTCTTACGAAGACATTGATCCTATCAGATCAGAGGTCCACTCTTAGGATTTCATTTTACTTTACTTACAGCTCCAATACAGCCACATTGGAGTTTGACACTTCAACATGTGAATTTTGGGGAGGCACAAATCAGTTCATTGCAACCTGGAGCACATGACTTTATTTAGATCTGTGACTCACCTAAGGCACTGAGCACTGTGCTAGGTATTAAAAAATCACAGAAATGGATCCACTACTCAAAGAGCTTGTATTAGTTTTCTGTTGCTGCTGTATCAAGTTACTATTAACTTAGTGTTTTAAAACAAAACAAATGTACTATCCTATAGTATTCTGGTTTAGAAGTTAGGCACAGGGAAAATTGAGGGAAAATTGAAGTGTCTGTGGGGCTGCGTTCCCCTTGGAGGCTCTAGGAGAATGTGTTTCCTGACCTTTTCCAGTTTCTTCAGGATGCCTGCGTTCTTTGGTTTTTGACTCCTTTTCTCCATCTCCAAAGCCAGTGAAGTTGCATGTTCCTGACTATTTTTCCATAGTCATATCTTCCTCAGGCACAGCTGAAAAAATTTCTCTGATTTTAAGGATCTGTGTGATTATACTGGGCCCATAGGATGATCTAGAATAATCTCCCCATCTCATGGTCCTTAATCATACCTACAATTCCATCTATTACAGGTACCATTTACAGGTTCTGGGCTTAGATTGTGGATATCTTTGGTGCACGTAAGTTAGTTACTTAATGCAATGTCCAAGGGCAGTAATGAAAAAAAAAAAACTAGAATAAGGAAATAGTGCAATCAGGGCTCCTTTCTGTTTTGCTTTTGCACCTGTCTTTATGTCTGTTTCTCTGAAGATCAGCACCCCCTTCTATTGCTGAAAATATTACTAACCACAGTTGCCGAGTTTACTCCTCATCTGTAGTCCAGTCACTCAGACGATGACCAGTGTGTCCCTCAATTCCATGTTCCTGCAAAAGGACTTTGATTGGTTCAGCTTGAGTCGCTCGTTCACTGCAGCCAGGGGCCAGTTAGTTGTCCTTCATGCCCTTCTGTTCTCATGACAGCTCCAGCTGCAGTCATGTGGGGGAAGGAGGAGTGATTCGTAGAGTGCTGGGCAAGAGATGTTTGAGGAGAAATCCACATCAGTGGAGAGGATGATGCATTCAGTTAGGTTTGTCTTTCTCTCCTGATTTTTTTTTTAAAAATTGAGATAATGGTGTACATAATTTACAACAAAAAGCATAGAATTTCAGTGCTTAATTTGATGTCTTAACAAATGTATATTCACTCTCCGGTAAGGTATAGAACTGTGCTATTACTCCAGAAAGAGTCCTTGTGCCCCCTGCAGTCAATCTGCACCCTTCAAATGCAACTGCAGTTCTGAATTATACAACCATAGAATAGTTTTAACTGTTGTAGAACTTGATATATATGAAATTAAGCAATAGGTACTTTTTGACCTTTTTCATTCCACGTAATATATCTGGGATTCAACCATGTTGCTGCTTTATGAACAACTCCATTCTTTTCTTTTTCTGAGAACACTATATACATATACCACATTTGTTTATTCATTTACCTGTTGATGGGCTTTTTGATTGTTTTCAGGTCTTTGATGTTGTGAACATTTTTACATAAGTTTATTTATGGCTAGAGGGAAATTTCCAGCATTAAATGCTGAGATGAGATAAGATGAATTCAGTTTTGAGTAAGCTGAGTCACAGGTGTTCTTGGGACATTCAGATAGTGAGATCTAGGCTTCTGCTGGAGTGTAGGATACAGATGTGGTCTAGCCATTTCTATTTCTATATTCTCTAGTCTTTGTGCTGAGTCAAAACCATGGGAAAAATCTTCAGGTGAAACCCCAGTGAGACAAGCGAATGCCCAGATATTAACTCCTGAGGATAGTTGATATTTGAGGAGCAAGGGAAAGAGAAATCCTTTAAAGAGGCTGAAAAGCGTGGCCATTTATCTTTGTGTCCCCATCAAAAGCCACAGGATCTGACAGTCACTGCTCAGTGTGCTAAATTTAACAGAAGAGTAGAGCGCCGCGTACATGATTACTGACAGGCCTCCATAATCTGTCTCCTCAGCCTATCTGGCAGATACATTGGGAAGACGAATGGCTGAGGAATCTGAAAGGCCGGAATGAGCACGGTGGATTGAAGTGGGGGTGGGGAAGGAAATCTAGATGAGCTAACTCCTTTTCTTACCAAGTCAGAAAAGATGCATAGGTGAGGGCAGTTTATTCAGGGCTTCAAGCGGATGTCAGATTGAAGAATTTGGAGTCCAACAGGCCAGCTACCTCCCCAGCCCAGGCCATCGAGGATTACCGGAGTAGGCGTGACGCAGGAAAATTCGTTGTGGGAAGTGTCTTCCTGTGGCAGTGGCACTGGTGACAGCGTTGTATGGTCAGCTGTGATAAGCGTTTCCCACAGGGCTTTGTCGTCGTAGCTATTTGGAAAAGAAGCGGTGTTGCCAGCTGATGGTGATTGCAGTCCAGATCCTGATCGAGGGTTGTAACTTTGCTTCTTAACCTCAGCAAAAGAAGGCAGAGGCGGTGGCATCTGGCCACAGCTGGGAGGCAGTGCGGGCGCGCCCAGCCGGAGCTGCTCGGCTGGGACTAGGGGCAGTGCGGCCGAGGGGCGGGGAAGGGGCGGG